GTAAAATTTGGTCAATGACATGAGACAAAGTATATGTGAACTGCTGTATGAAAAGTGAATTTACTCTGTAAATCTTCACCCAAATCAAAATAAAATTAAAAAAAAAAAAAAGAAAGGTCACCTGGTTTGCTGAGTGTCACCCAGAGGGAAGTGGTTAGAAAGGTCACCTGCTTTGCCCAGCATCACCCAGAGGAACAGGGGCTGAAATAATAGGACCTGCCTCTCCCACTTTGCCCACAAAGGACCAGGGAGTCCATGTCCTGGGTGTTACACAAAATGATTTGGGTGTGTCTGTCTGTCTGCTTGTTTTTCATGAAGATGAGCAGGCAGAGAAGATCAACATCAGCCTGGCCTTCTTGTATGACCTCCTCTCCCTCATGGACCGTAGCTTTGTGTTTAACCTCATCAAGCATTACTGCAATCAGGTGGGTGTACCTCCAAGGGCACTATTGTGTTCCTTCTCTGCTGTGATGCTCATCACCATGGTGTGCTATCTTGTTGTTTTTGTGTGCTATCGAGTTGATTCCAATTCATAGTGATCCTATAGGACAGGGTAGAACTGCCACATAGGGTTTTCAAAACTGTAAATCTTTACAGAAGCAGACTGCTTCATCTTTCCATGGGGAGGCTGCACCACAGGGCTCCTAAAGCCATCTTACTTAGGGTAAAACTAGGTCCTTCACCTCACATTATGTTACACTGAAGATGTACCCCCAAGTTCACTTTGGACATGGGTTCACCACGGCATTGTAGATTTGCCAATGGGATGGGTCAGATGGGATGTCTCATTTTGGGCAGCTGTGAGGCTAGAAGGATCAAGGGAACAATAATTGATGGAAACATACCAGGCCTTCCTGCAATGCAGTTGACCATCTGTGCACTGTCCCAATACTTTTTATGAAATCAGTTGCCTTCCTCTGGGGAGAATGTGTATTTTGTGTCTTTCAACCACAGCTCCATTGACCTGCTAATACACCTCTTTCCTCTTCTCATTTGTCTTCCCAGCTGCTGGCCAACGCTCATTTCTATGCGGCTGGGATTCCTGAGGGTCCTCTGCAGCCATGAGCATTACCTCAGCCTGAATCTCTTCTTTATGAACACTGACACTGCACCAGCATCACCCTGCCCTTCCGTATCTTCCCAGGTAGCTAACAGAGAGCTGTGTCACGTAACTAGCTCACCGTAGCTCATTCATCTCCTATCAAGGTTGGTCTTACTGATTAGAAGAAAATTCAAGCTATTCACGCCAGATTAATTGATGCTGATATAGACAGCCCTGAAATCGTCCCATCTTAACTAATAATGTACTGGTAGTATAGCTTCCAGCATCACAGCAACATGCAAGCCACCACAGTACAACACACTGACAGACTAGCACATAACGACGATGATGACGAACTCATAATGTCTATCACTGGTCTGTCAGTGTGTTGTACTGTGGTGGCTTGCATGTTGCTGTGATGCTTGAAGCTATACCACCAGTATTTCAAATACCAGCAGGGTCATTCATGGTGGACAGGTTTTAGCAGAGCTTCTGGACTATGACAGACTAGGAAGAAGGATGTGGCCAGGTCCACCTCTGAGGGGAAAAATAATGGCCACTGAAAACTTTATCGATAGTAGGGAAACGTTGTCTAATATAGTGCTGGAAGATGAACCTCTCAGGTTGGAAGGCACTGAAAATATGACTGGGGAAGAGCTGTCTCCTCAAAGTAGAGTCAACCATAGTGACATAGATAGAGTAAAGCTTTCTGGACTTTCATTTGCTGCTGTGGCATGACTCAAAATGAGAAGAAACAGTTGCAAACATACATTAATGATCAGAATGTGCAATGTATGCAGTATGAATCTAGGAAAACTGGAAGTTGTCAAAAATGAAATGAATACATAAAAATCAATATCCTAGGTATTAGTGAGCTGAAATGGACTAGTATTGGCCATTTTGAATCAGACCGTCATATGGTCCACGTTGATGGGAATAACAGATTGAAGCGGAATGCCATTGCATTCATCATCAAAAAGAATGTCAAGATCTATGCTTCAGTACAATGATGTTAGTGATGTTGTTGTTGTGTGCCGTCGAGTTGGCCCCGACTCATAGCGACCCCTCCTTGGGTTTCCGAGGCAGTATCACTACGGAAGTAGGATTGCCCAACCTTCAGTATCAATATGCCCACAAGGAGGACCAGTTAATACAACTATTATTCAAATTTATGTACCAACCACTAAAGCCAAAAATGAAGAAATTAAAGATTTTTATCAACTTCTGCAGTCTGAAATTGACCAAACATATAACCAAGATGTATTGATAATTATTGGTGATTGGAATGTGAAAGTTGGAAACAAGCAGCATCAGTAGTTGGAAAATATGGCCTTGGTGATAGAAATGTCACCAGTGATAGCATGATAGAATTTTGCATGACCAGCGACTTATTCTTTGTTTTTCAACAACATAAATGGTAACTATACACATGGACCTCGCCAGATAGAATATACAGGAATCAAATTGACTATGTCTGTGGAAGAAGACAATGGAGAAGTTCAGTATCATCATCAGAACATGGCCAGGTGCTGACTGTGAATCAGACCATCAATTGCTCATATTCACATGAGAACCAAAATATGACCTTGATTATATCTCACCTGAATTTAGAGACCATCTAAATAGATTTGATGCACTGAACACAAATGACCAAAGACCAGAAAACTTGTGGAGTGAATACCAAGAACATCATACATGACAAAAGCAAAAGATCTTTAAAAAGATAGGAAAGGAAGAGAAGATGAACATGTCAGAAGAGATTCTGACTTGCTCTTGAAAGGAGAGTAAAGTGAATGGAAGAAATGATGAAGCAAAAGATCTGAATAGAAGATTTCAAAGGACAGCTCAGGAGGACAAAGTAAAGTGTTATGATGAAATGTTCAAAGACCTGTAGATAGAAAATCAAATGGGGAAAAAAGGGCTCCACATTTCTCAAGCTTAAAGAACTGAAGAAAAAATTCAAGCCTCCAGTTACAATATTGATGGATTCAATGGGCAAAATATTGAACAATGGAGGAAGCATCAAAAGATGGAAGGAATACTCAGTCACTGTTGATGTTCAGCCATTTCACAAGGTAGCATATGATCAGTGCTACTGAAGGAAAAAATCCAAGCTGCACAGAAGGAATTGATAAAAACAAGGCTCTATAAATTGATGGAATAACCATCAGGGTGTCTTAATAAACAGATACAACTCAGGAGGCACTTACTCATCTATGTCAGGAAATTTAGAAGAAAGCTATTTGGCCAACTGACTGGAAGAGGTCCATATTTTTGCCCACTCTGAAGAAAGGGAATCAAACAGAATGTGGAAATTATCGAACAATATCATTAATATCACACGCAAGTAAAGTTTTGTTGGTTATTCAAAAATGGTTGCAGCAGTATATTGACAGGAAACTTCCAGAAATTCAAGCCAGATTCAGAAGAGGACATGGGATGAGGGATATCATTGCTGTTGTCAGATTGATCTTAACAAAGAATATCAGAAAGATGTTTACCTGTGTTGTATTGACTATGAAAGGCATTCGACTGTGTGGATCGTAACTAATTGTGGATAACATTGCAAAGAATGGGAATTCCAGAACACTTCATTGTCCTCATGGCGAACTTTTACATAGACCAAGAAGCAGTAGTTCAAATAGAAGAAGGAGTTACTGCGTGGTTTAAAATTAGGAAAGGTGTGCATCAGAGTTGTATCCTTTCACCATGCTTATTCAATCTGTATGCTGAGCAAATAATCAGAGAAGCTGGACTATGTGAAGAAGAACGTGGCATCAGAATTGGAGGAAGACATAACAACCTGCAATATATGGATGGTACAACCTTGCTTGCTGAAAATAAAGAAGACTTGAAGACTGATGAAGATCAAAGACTATAGCCTTCAGTATGGATTGCACCTCCACAGAAAGAAAAAAAAATCCTCACCACTAGATCAATAAGCAACATCTTGATAAATGGAGAAAAGATTGAAGTTGTCAAAGATTTCATTTTATTTGAATCCAGAATCAACACCCTTGGAAGCAACAGTCAAGAAATCAAAAGACATTACCTTGGGCAAATCTGCTGCAAAGTACATGTTTAAAGTGTTTCAGAGCAAAGATGTCACTTTGAAGGCCAAAGTGTGACTGACTCAAGCCACAGTATGTTCAATATGCAATATGCTTTGTGGTGGTTATGTTTGTATGTCAACTTGGCTGGGCCTGGTTTAGTGGCTGGGCAGCTGGTGGTAGTTATTCCCCATGATGAGACTGGCAATCAACTCCATGGTGGGATCTACCACAAGCAGCTGAGTAGCTGCTTTGGGTGTGTGGTTTGCTTCCCGTATATAAGAAACAGCTTTGGGAATGGTCTCTAGTTTATGGTATGCTTGGGCCCCACATGTAGCCGTGTCATTGTTCAGCAGCCTGCTATGCTCTGCCAACCTTGGGACTTACAGTGGACTTGAATCAATGGACTGCTGTGTGGTTTGGCAACATCGGGACAGTGCCTTTTTGCTTGTCAACCTTGGGTTTGTCAGTGTCAGTAGCCAGCAGTTGTCTGAGTGAAGAAATGCCTCTAGCTCCAGTGGGTGGGAGCAGGAGGCAGAGCTGGACCCCAACGCTGAGAGGCTTTCACCCAGCCCCTAGAGCCTGGCACTTTGAACTTGGACTTAAAGCCTCCAAACTGTGAGAGAATAAACTCCTGTTAGTGGCACTGGGTAACCAGAACATGCTTCATATGCACGTGAGAGCTGGATAATGATATAAGGAAGACTGCAGAAGAATTGCTACATTTGAATTGTGGTGTTGGCGAAGAATATTGAACTGCTAGAACAACAAACAAATCATGTCAGAAGGGACCAGACCCTAGAGAAGGATATCTTGCTGGGTAAGGTGGAAGATCAGTGAAAACAACAAAGACCCTCAACAAGATGGATTGACACAGTGGGTGCAATGGTGGGCTCAAGCACAGCAACAACTGTGAGGATGGTGCAGGACTGGATAGTGTTTTGTTCTCATAGGGTCACTATGAGGTGGGACCAACTCAACAGTACCTAACAACAACAACAACAATAAGTAATAGTAGTGTACAATTGCTTCCTTCCAAAGATCATGGGCCTCCTCTGAGGCCGAACAGAATGAGGAATCCTCAAGCACTATGAACATTTAGAAATGCCTCGAAAAGTCACATATTTCCCTTGTTTTTTTTGTTAGTTGCCTTAGAGTTGTCTCTGACTCATGATGACTCCCTGTACAGTGGAATGAAATGTTGCCTGGTCTTGCACCATCTTCATGATTGTTGGTATGTTCGAGTCCATTGTTGTAACCACAAGAGGGTTCATCTTCCGGCAGTGCATTGGGCAGTATTTTGTTATGATCTTTATGGTTTTTCTTGGCTAAT